AAGGACACTAACTCCATCATGGAATATATGTTCACCATCTCATCTAAACCTGTTGATTTCCCAAAGGTTCTAAATATCATCATGTTGGAAATTAGAACTTGTGGTGTTTAATCTGAATTGTAAACTTGATTGGGTTGAGAGACACCTAGGAGATTAGTAAAGCACACCTCTAGGTGTGTCTGTGAGGGCTTTTCCAGAGATGATTAGATTGTGAGGGCTCTGACATACTTAATGGTTTAATCCATTAATGGATTCAAAACCTGAATAGATGACTATGGGGAGGTAGCAGAACTGTGCACTGGGGACATGGTTGCTGGACTGTACCCTTGAAGGGCACATGAGGCCTACTCCTACCCCTTAGGCCTCTCTGCTTCTTGGCTGCGATGAGGTGAGCAGCCTGTGTCCCATGCTCAGGATAGTCTGCCTTGCCCAGCCCAAAGATTTTGGGCTGAAATCTTTGAAACCATGAGGCAAAATAAGTTTTCCTTCTTTTTGATTGTTTTTCTCAGGTATTTGTCACAAAGATAGAAATTCTGATTGAGACAGGGTTTCAACATAAGAAGGAGTGGGGACCACACATTTAGTCCATAGTAACTATAGACATCAGGATTTTTAATTCCTAGGTTTTTCCATAGGGCAGCTCATAAGACAGCAGCTAGTTTTCCTCAGAGCAGGTAAGTGAGAACCCAAGACAGCAGTCACGCCCTTTAACTTATTTATTTTTATTTTATATGTATGCCTGCATGTATATATGTGCACCTTGTGCATGCCTGGTATCTGAGTAGGTCAGAAAAAGGCCTTGGATCCCCAAGAACTGGAGTTACTGATGGTTGTTGAACGCTGCCATGTGAATGCTGGGAACTGAATTCCAGTTCTCTGCGGAGAGCAGCAAGTGCTCTAAACCATGGAGCCATCTCTCCAGCCCCAACCAGAACCTTAAAAAAATTAATCTCTGAGGTATCATCACATCACTTTTCCAATCCTATTTTTCAGAACTGAGTCACATATTCAAGGGGAGAGGGATATTCAGGGGTTTGAATACCAGGAGGCAGAGATCACTGGGTACCATTCATAGGCTGCTCACTACAGATTCTGAGAAGATAATATACTAAAAGGCCATTACACTGAGCAGCGACAATCTATAGTGTAGTAATTATAGCCCACACTATACAAATAACACAAGCAAGCTGAGTCTGTAGAAAACCTTGAGATAGTGATGCTACCACAGTGAAAATGTTAACACAAAATGTGCTAACAGGTGGCAGGAATGCATGCAGAAGGTTTTAAAGTTTTGTTTTTATTAAATATGAAAGTGATACATAAAAGGATGCCGATATAACATATGTAAGTGATAAAGAAGCATGAGAAAGTTAGCACACATGGTTGCAGCACCCAGGCTAAGGGAAGAACTGGCCATGGTGTTCACAGTCTCCAAAGACCACTGCTCCTTCCCCTCCAGACACCATCAAGCTGCATTTTGTGATCACCGTTCATTTCATTGTGTTCATATCCCCACACAAGACTTTGGTCTTTCCCTGCCTTTGTATAAATGGAAGCAGGGCTGGGAAGATTAGTGGGTAAGGGCACTTGCTCCACAAACTTGACAGCCTGAGGTCAATCCCAGGATCCCATGGTGGCAAGAAAGAACCAACTTCTGAAAATTGTCTTCAACCACAAGAGCACTGTGGCATGTGCACACCTGAACTCACACACACCATGCATACACAACATAATAACAATAAATAAAAATCTGGGAGGCTGGAGAGATGGCTCAGTGGTTAAGGGCACTCACTGCTCTTCTGGAGAATCCAAGTTCAGTATCCATCACCCATACTGGGTGGTTTACCACTTCTGATAACTTTAGTTCCCCTGGAACTGGAGTTACAGATGGTTATTACCTGCCATGTGAGTGCTGGGAACCGAACCCCAGTCCTCTGCAAGAACAGCCAGTGTTCTTTAACTGCTGAGTCATCTCTCCAGCACACATACCCCCCCAATTTTTAATGCGTGTATTTCTCTCAAATTTGTGTTTCTGGGATTTGTCTGTTGATGTAGTCACAATGATATTTTCAATTTGAGCCGGGCTTCACCAGGGCTTCAGATCCTGTTCCAAAGCAAGAGCAAGTTCAGACTTCTCATCTGAGCCCCAGTTTGTCTTCCCTACTCTATGCAATCTGTTTGGCTACCCTACAACTCATCTACATGGGCCTCAATGGACGTTTGGGCTGGTTTTATCTTTTTGCTATTAAAATAGTGCTTCTATGAAAATCACTGGGCTTGTTTCTGGCATACTTGCGCAAAAGTTTCTTCAGGGAATACACCTGGAAAAGGAACTGTTGGAACAAGGGCATATCAGCTTTATCAGACAATGACAAGTTGTTTTCCAACGTGGTTACAGTAAGCATTCTGGTTCTTCTAAATCCTACCCAATATTTAATACTGACTTTTTATATTTTTGTCAGTCTGGAAGATATCAAATGAAATTTCACTGAGGGTTTGATTTGTATTGCACACAGGCATTGAAATATGTTTCACCACGCTGGCAAATGCTATCCAATTATCAAATGTGACTCTGAACTCTACACTCAAGGTTCAGCCATCATCCATTAACTAGTTACAGATTATTATTGCTGTAAGTAAACATCACTCCTGTGCAAGTTCTCTGGGTAAAAGTTAAATGCAAAGAGTCGGGGCTTGAAATAATAACTCAGTACAATGTCTATGTTGCAAAGCGATAGAAAGTATAGATAATGAAGTTGTGAATAAAGAAAATAATTTTCAGGCTGGGATGTAGCTCAATGTAGAGCAATCAATCACTTAGTATGCACAAGGACCGGGGTTTAATCCTTAACAAGAAAAAAAAGAAAAGAATTTTCATGGACATTGTACTCCTTACGTATTTGTTTTAGTGAAGGTGTTGTAAGGGAATTGAGAGAAAAATGAGTCATGTCTATCTAGATACACTATCCCTGCAACAATAAAGGATATATAAAGAAAGAAGTTATGCATCACTATGGGCTGGACACATTTTATTCCTGATTCAGAACCCAGGACATGGTAATGCTATTAAGAATTTAAATAAAATACCTCATCATAGGTGAGGGATTTACAGTGGAGAGTTAATAAAAAAATTTCTTCCCTTAATGTCACTCTGGGTTGCCAACTTTGAATTGTAAACCTGCTGACTGATTAAAATTCATAACTTAGTGAGGCTGATTGGACTCTACCCAAGAAACATGTTCTAGAACAAGTCAAAGGTCCGAGAGTAAAGTCAACTGCAAATGGGTAAGAAATCAGGTGACCAGGTGAGCTAGTGCGCATATCCTTGGAGGGAGAGCCGAAGAATGGAACCCACCAAGCACTTGGCTTAACTATGGGATGAGCCTGGACCCCGGGTGTTTGAGTGGGCTTGATGTGAGATGAGGTTAGGCAGTGACAGAACAAACACTGCAAGATGGGCACCTTCCATTCTCAGAAAACAGACCGAGGTGATGTCTCCTCATGAAGTATTGGGGCATAAATGTGCATTTTATTTTTTAAAAAATATTTTATTATACTTATTTTATGTGTATGAGTATATTGTGTAAGTGCACCAATGTAATGCCTGTGGAGATCAGGAGGTCAGAAGAGAGTGTGGGATCCGCTGGAACTGGAGGTAAGGATGGTTGTTAGCCATAATGTGGGTGCTGGGAATCAAACCCAGGTCCTCTGCAAGAGCAGTCAATGCTCTTAACTATTGAGCCATATCTCCAGCCTCATAAATTTACATTTTAAAACCTTTTTTTTTAAAGAAAAGACAAACTTTTTTTTTGAGACAAAGGTCTTGCTATGCTGCTCAGGCTGGCCTTGAGCTCATAATCCCTGTCTCAACCTCCCATGTCTTTGGAATTATAGATGCACATGACCTTTATAAATTTACTCATTTGAAAAGCAATTCAGTACAGCTATCAGGAATTTAAAGATGTTTCCACTTTTTGGCCATATAATTCTATGTGCCCTAGAAGCTGAGTTGCTGTATATGAAAGATTCCTTCAAATTATCTCAACATAAGAGGCCTTACAGTGAAGGAACACGGCAGCCTGCAAGTGTACCCAGCCTGGGAGCAGCCGCCTGGGGACGGCAGGGTTTCTCAACGTGCTGCCTTTCCTCACCATCTGTGCTCTAGCTTTTCTTTATCATTTAACTCCAGTTATTTCTACAGACCCAGTCATCTGGCAGATCTAAGTCCAGGTAAGAGGATCTTGATTGGCCTGATTGGGTGTCCTTGGATCAGCTGTCCTCCCACGATCCAATCAGCGGAAGCTGAGACTCGTGTGTTCCCCAACCCCCCTCGCCTCTAACCGCCAGTGCAGCTAGGGTGGTGCAGCACTCGATGGACAAATATCGAGAACTGGCAACCACAGTGATGTTTGTGATGTGAGATTTAAAAGATGCAGAGATGGGGACCCAGAGGTGCATTAAAGTGCTCCTATAGCGCGAGAGCACACACACACCATCAACAGCAATATGATAATTATGAATTGTCTATGTGTGCAAGGCAGCTATTGCCATGACTTTGATGAGTACTGAAGAACATGGGGAAATGCTAATACGATATTGTTTGAAAATAGGCTATTGTCTGAGAAAAAAAAATGCACTTTAGAAAAAAAAGTCTGTATGGGAAAGTCAATGGGTTGGGGGTTTGATCATTGGTGACATATATATCCGGATGTGGTGGTGTAATCCCAGCATCTGAATGCTGAGGCTGGAGGATCGCGGCCTGAGTTCTAGGCTAGCAGGGACACAGCGACTCTGACTCAAAAAAGTTACTGCTTTAGGCTTCGGGCGTCCCATAGTGAGCACTCGCCTCTCTAATCATTGGAGGGCACACTTAGACCCCATGTCCTCTGGGAGGCCTTTGCCCAGAGCCCCGTCTCCCCGCCGGGTGGGGGGGGGGGAAATGTCCTTCCTGCGGCCGCAGGTGGACCACACGCAGCGCTCAGACCCCTGAAACCACGCCCTCGGCACCGCCTGCTTCCGTCTTCCGGCGCCCCGCCTCGGGCTCCAGCATGGCTCCCCTGCGCTTTTCGGCCAACCTGTCCTGGCTGTTCTCGGAGCTCCCCGGGCTCCCCGCTCGGCTGCAGGCGGCCGGCCGCTCGGGCTTCGAGGCAGCCGAGGTGGCCTGGCCGTACGCGGAGCCGCCCGAGGAGCTGGCGCGGGAGGCGCGGGCCGCGGGGCTGCAGCTGGTGCTGATCAACACGCCCCCGGGTGCGCGGGACCAGACCGGGGAGGGGGGGGGGTGGCAGCGGCGTGCGGGGTTCGCACTGACGCGGCCTCTCTCCGCAGGAGACCGAGAGAAGGGGGAGATGGGGCTGGGGGCCGTCCCCGGGAGACAGGCGGCCTTCCGAGAGGGGCTCGAGCAGGCGGTGCGGTACGCCAAGGCTCTGGGCTGTCGCAGGTACCCCACCATGCCCTCTAGCTCCTCGGCCCTGCGGCCGGGTCAGGAAGAGGACGCGGGCTCTGAGACACTTGGCGCTTTCCTTTCTCCACCCCTGTGATCCTGGACCTTCGTAAACAACTTTTTGTATTTCATCTGTCGGTGACATTCTGTTTGCCACTCTCAAAGCTCGGACTGTGCTGGGATCCCATGCTGGGAACTGGGGTCTGATCAGGGAGATAGCCAGGTAAAGGCAGCCTGTAAAGCATCCAAGCACAGGCCGAGCAAGCTGTGGGAGCAGGGTAGGCCCCTGACCCTGACTGAAGAAAGCTGCTTGCAGATAGTAATGCAGGAACTGGGTCTGGACAGCCACTTCATGGGTGGGAGATACTGTTCCAGGCAGGCTGTGACCAGAGGCAAGAGGCAAGTTGGTGTGTCCAGCTGAGTTCATGAGACTGGACATGTAGCACATTGGGTTGGGAGGGTGGGAATGCCTGCAGTACCCACTGAATTTGAAGGTAGCTAAGATCAGATCATGGGATGCAGCCTCATAGTGGTACAGAGAGAAAAGACAGCAAGTCCAGCAGAGGTCAAATACAAGTGCAGAGAAGCAACCGGCAACAAGGGGCTCATTACTGGTCAGTGCTAGGACCAGAAAACAGATGGGAAGAGGCCAAGAAACAGATGCAGGAGAGGAAGTTGATAAGCAAGATGGACTGTTTGAGAAGGGTACAGGTCAGTCATTTTTAAAAGCTGGGCCTCAAGCATGCTTATAGGCTGAGAAGGAACAAGGGGAAGAGGTTAAGAGTACAGGGGGACTAAGGGATGGACTTGAGGCTCTGATGGGTTGGCTGGAAAAAGGCAGTGAGTGACTCGCGTTGGGACACTCAGGTGCCCGAGGCTACTGAGATGCCAGAGCGTCATGGCTCATAAGGTATGGATAGAAGACCTGGAGCAATGGGAGGGGCTGGTACAGTCAGAAGGCATCCTGATGCATAGGGAATCGAGGGCATGAGTGCTTCCCTACCACCTTCTCCACAGGATTCACCTGATGGCTGGCCGAGTGCCCCGAGGGGCTGACCGAGCAGCAGTTAGGGGTGAGATGGAGGCAGTTTTTCTGGAGAACCTGAGGCATGCAGCTGGGGTTCTGGCCCAGGTATAAGATGGAAACATGTTGGGGAGCAAGGCTATACAGCAGGGACAGGTGGGGTACAAGGCTGGGCAATGGCTCACATCAGGGGGGCAGGCAAGGGTGCCGACTAGTGACAGACGGGGACAGTGTGGGAAGGATCTCTATTGACAGCCTTCAATGCGTACTAGGAGGACCTCATGGGACTGCTGGAGCCCATTAACACACGCATCACAGACCCCCAGTACTTCCTGGACACACCCCAGCAGGGTAGGACACCAGGCCTGTGCCTCTTCCTCTCCTTGATTCCTGTGCTCCCCAGTCTCATGGCTCTCTCCCTGGTTTTATTCCCAGCGGCAGCCATTTTGCAGAAGGTTGGAAGACCCAATCTCCAATTACAAATGGTGAGAAAAGGTGCTTCAAAAAGTCACGTTTTCCAGTCTGGGAAGAATGGTGGGGGACACCAAGGGTTCTGAGCGTTCTCTTCCCCAGGACATATTCCACTGGCAGATCATGGATGGGAACCTGACGGGAAACATCCGGGAGTTCCTGCCTATTGTCGGTGAGGGCTCCCTTCTACGCTCCTCTCTGGTCTGGTGCTGTTCTCTATACTTGCCACCCTTTCAACCCCTTCTTGTCTCAACAGTAGCCTGGGTGCCATGCATCTCTCCATCTGTCCCTAGGGCATGTGCAGGTGGCACAGGTCCCAGACCGAGGGGAGCCAGACAGCTCTGGAGAGCTGGACTTCTCCTACCTGTTCCAGCTGCTGGAAGATGAAGGCTACCAAGGCTTTGTGGGCTGCGAGTATCAACCTCGAGGTGAGGCTCCAGGTGGCCCTGGGAAAAAGACTTTGCGGGGGTGGGGGGGGGGGGGGGGGGGGCAGGCAGGGGTTGGATGGGGGCTGTTCTTTCTTTTGTGGGTTGGGGTGCCATTGCCCTGTT